TTACTGTAGTATCAACAACATTAACAGGCTCTGCAGGTATGTGATGCACACTAACTGAGTCATCTCCATTTCTTTCTTCCCTAGGTAGTGTGTATAAGACTCCTCCACTCCCCATGGTTAATACAACACAGCCTGGTCCTTCATTCTGCAAAGATAAAACAGCACTTTCACCTGAGGCTCTATCAGTTACTGATACTCCAGATAATAATTCAGCCTAGAAATCAATGCTAGTTACTGGTTTATAAAGATATGTAATATACCTCTGTTTCATTCACACACAGTATGTCAGAGTATTTATAAAACTCTTTCTTTAGTCCAGCAAGGCCAGGAGCAGCATTAAATATAGTTGTGGTAGCAGCAGAGTCTATACATAAGTGAAGTTCATGATTATATTATTAAAATTAGTTTAAAACCTTCTCTTGCCTCTTTAGCAAGTTTGAGAGCATTAAGTGTCGTCTCTGGTGATATTTCCAATTGGCACACTAATACTTTAGCTCTTGATATCATCTCCTTTGCAGATCCAAGGTCCTCATCATTTAAGTGATTATTAGCACCACTAACAATTACAATGGAGTTTTCTCCTATCATAATAAATTATTTCTACTTGTGTGCATATAATTCATGGGTCAAACTTCTACATTACATATGGCAATGTGTAATGAAAATTGTGGGTGTATTTCTACTTTCAAAAACATCAATTGCGATTGACTCAAACTTCCATAATGTGTGTGATAAATAGCAATACCTTCATCATTAACTGTTATTTGAGCGACACCAGACTGACTCTCATCAACGATACCAACATGATCAACCTAAGCAAGTGCAACCCGTTAATATTTATAATTATTTTTTATTTTTATTTACGTTGACTTTGTTTGTATTGAAGTTCTCAATCGTGCTCCGACCAAAGCTGTCATTCCCTAGTTTAGCCACCATTGCTGTTGATGAGCCAAGGCGTGCTGCCATTATGCACTGATTGGCTCCCTTCCCTCCAAAACCTTGACTGAAGCTCCGCCCAGCAATAGTCTCCCCTGGTTTGGGAAGTCTTGACACATAACTATAAAAGAAATAGAGGAGCAATATTAAAGACCTATTATACCATATAAGGTCAATCATACAAGAACCAGCAACAACTACTTCAGCCATTTTTAATGAGCTAAATCTAACACCCACTCACAGCACCTAATTATTATTAGTTAGCTAACACCCACCTAATCTATTTCCATAGCAACTACCAATGTTCACGTGTAGGCTGCTGGTACTGTACTGTACTCTTAAACATAATGTCCTTTTCTAAGCCTCTTCGATTTCTCTCCGAGTCCCTACGCTCTCAGATCCGTTCAGGTCTCTCCCTTTCATCTCTAGTTCAGTGTGTCGAGGAACTGGTCCTCAATAGCATTGATGCTGGAGCAACTCAAATAACAGTACATGTAGACATATCCCATCTTTTAATAAAGGTATAAACCTGCACATTATCATGTAGAATAGTGTTATTGTACTTTCCCAGGTGTTTGATAATGGAGTGGGTATTGGAAAAGAAGACATGATGATAATTGGCGAGCGTTATGCGACAAGCAAATGTCACTCTCTCAAAGACTTGGAGGATTTGCGTTCTTATGGCTACCGAGGTGAGGCTCTAGCAAGCTTGATCAAAATCTGTGGTAAGGTAGATATCACATCAAGACAGCGTCTGTCTCCCCTCACATATACAAAGAGCTTTCATTCTGGAGTTGCTTTCCCTTTAAAAGAATCTCTTTCATCGTTGCATCACAAAACCGGTACCACAGTAGCCCTCTCTGATATATTCCAATCTCTCCCGGTGAGGAGGAAGAGTCTGTCAGAGCCCGTAGAGCTAGAGAGAATAAGACGCTCTCTCTCTGCCATTGCTCTCATTCATTCCTCTGTATCATTCTCTCTTCATGATGGCTCCTTTGGCAATGGGAGACTTTTACTTCAAACAAAAGGAACTGGAGGGATGCTTAGTGCTTTCTCTTTTTTGTTTGGCAAGGAGATTGCTCAGTCTCTAAGGGAAGTGTCACGGATTGAGGCAGGGTACACTGTTAGTGGATACATATCAACTTCACCTCATCACAGTAAATCTATTCAAATGATATACATCAATAAGAGACTGGTATGTAAGACAAGGCTTCATTCACATGTTAATAAGCTCCTTGATAACTCACTCATTGCTCATTGCAAGGACTCTGCACAGTATAATAGATCCCAGTCAAAGACTAGAGTTGGAGGGGACATGAGTCCTAAAGCTGTTTACTCTGAGAGATTTGGTGTCTATGTATTGAATATACAGTGCTCCAAGACAGAGGTTGATATTTTTATGGATCCTGATAAGAGCCTGGTTGAGTTTAAGAAATGGGATAAAGTTTTATCGGTTTTAAGTTTGGCTGTGAGATCTTTTTTGAAAGAGCACCATCTTTCTCTCAGAGTCGAGAAATCTCTTGTCCCTTCCTCTTCATTCCTTAATGATGGTGAATCAAACAAGGAGAATGATGCCTGCATTTCATTTGGTGTCTATTCTCATTCTGTGCAAAGGCTGTCTCCACCAAGTGTTTCTGCTCCAATGACCTCTTACCCTCCTCTTACTTCCCCTTCAAGAAAGAGAGGGATAATATCATTAAAGATTAAAGAGAAACTCCTAGGGAGTGACAGAAAGCGACTAAGAGTGTCTTCATCAGATGAAAAGGATTGTAGTTCTGTTCCTTTCAACAGCAGTTCACAGTCTCATTCTTCTTCTAATAACAATTCCACTAAATCAAACATTGATTCACCATCACTTACTTCTGACTGCAAATCCCTCAGTAGTACTGACTCTCACTTAAATTCATGTGTGTCTTCTAGTGCTGCTCCTCCTGCAAAAGAGCCCAGTCTATGGCAACTTATAACAGGGCCTGACTCTAAGCCACTCTATATTAACAAAGCAACTGGTAATTGTCAGTCTGAGCCTCCTGCATCTCTTCTTTCTCCTTCTAACAGTAGCATTGGATCAACTTATGGCTGTCAGCCGTTAAGAGCTGCTCCTCACCTCACCTATGGCTTCAGTCCTCTCCTACCAAAACCAAAACAAATACAAAACTCACAGACTTCTCTTACTTCTCTCCATACATCTACCATCACTCCAATAGGGAAAGCTGCTTCATCTAAAAGTATTACTAGGGACAATGAGAGCCTAAAGAATAATAAATGGAGGGAGAGAAGTGATTCAATACTCTCAAATTGGACTAATCCAGCATTTAGAGGTGAAGAAGGGCCGGTAAGACATCATTTTGAAAGCACAATACATGACATTTACCTTGTTATAGGCCATAACTGATATAGGCTTATCTAAAGCATCTTCCTCTCAGATCAAAGTTCATAGCCTCATAAATTCCTACAAATTCACTACAGATATGTTGAAACATGTGAAGGTATGTACATTAATGTTATAAATCAGTTCAAGTTATATCAGACTCATAATTGTATGAAAGGTTCTTGGGCAGATAGATAACAAGTTTATTGCTTGTACATTGAAGACTGAAGAGCTTAAAGGTATGGAAATACATGTACATCATTATTGCACTTTCCTTTTCATGTTAGATGATTTGCTTGTTCTGTTTGATCAGCATGCTGCCGATGAAAGGGTTAGACTTGAAGCTTTAACTGAAGGTTTGCTTTCATGTAATAACATTGATTACCGTCAATTGCATAAAAACTGAGAATTCTTTCCTAGCTATTTTTGATGAAATACCCAAGTATAGGGACTTTTGTCAAATTTTTGAGCAGCTTTAAAAAATTCATAAAAAATTCAAATTTGATCAGAATCAGCTCAAACTTTTTACGCAATATAAGAACATGTATTACGTATTAGAAAAAATTATAAAAATGAAGAATTCTCTCCTTGTTATTTTTGGCGAAATTTTACTAAAGTCCCTGTACTATAGTACAGGGATTTTCACCAAATTTTGGATGAACTTTAGAAATTTATAAAAAAATCCAATTTTGATTGAAATCCACTCAAACTTTCTACACTACATAAAAACATGTATAAGTATCAGAAAAAATTATAAAAATAGAGAATTCTCTCCTTTTGAATTTTAGCAAAATTTGGCCCAAGACCGTGTACTATTATAGTACAGGGACTTTTACCTGATTTTGGAGCAACTTTAAAAGATTCTTTAAAAAAATTTTAATTTGATTAGAAATAGCTCAAACTTTATACACAACATAAGAATGCTAATATTGTATCAGGAAAAATTATTAAAATGGAGATTTCTCTCTTAGTCATTTTTGAAAAAATTTGAATCAAAGTCCCTATACTATAGTACAGAGTGTTTGGCCATTTTTTGAACAGCTTTATGCATTCCAATTTTGATTGGAATTACACAACAAAAGAACATACATGATCATGATTGTAAATTATACCTTTATATGTATAGGAATATATGATTTAGCTACAGGAAATATCAAGTCGGTCCGAATCGATCCATCTCTTACACTTAAATTGAATGAGTTGGATAGAAGATTAGCTCTAACTTATGCCAGAGAACTGAAGAATATTGGTAACAGTATAGTGTTGCATGTGTACTCTATATATTATCATTACTAGGAGTTAAATATATTATCATTATTAGGAGTTAAAGTGTCTTGTAAACACGAGATGCTACTAGTCAGTGAGTTGCCTGCCATATTGACAGAGAGAGACATTGGAGAGAAGCAGAAGATAAAGCTTGCTCAAGATCTTATCTTAAAACATTTGGAGGTGCACTATACAAGACATAATACTCCAATCACTTTTGCATTATTCTAATATACACAGTTATTTTGTCTAAAGACTGTCAGCGAGAAAGTTAGAGGAGGAGGAGGAGCTATGCTCCCAATTTCATTACACAAAGTACTCTGCTCATTAGCTTGCCATGGTAATAACAATTATCCTATGTACACAATTTTAAAATATTTGTGTGTGTGTTTCTGTGTATGTATACATGCAGGTGCTATTAAATTTGGTGACTCTCTTACTGTAGAGCAATGCTCAGAGCTCATTGCTTCTTTATCAAAGTGTAAGCTTCCTTTTCAATGTGCTCATGGCAGGTCAGTTGAGATATATAATGGAACTGCAGCTATTCAGTGCTATCTGCACATATCTAGGCCTTCTCTAATGCCTATTGTGAATCTAAGTTTACTGGAAAAGAGATTTCCTCCCTCTCAATCTGGTCACACTACTACTAATAAATTAAATTTGAATAAATTAATACCAAAATGAAAACAGTGACAGTGAATGATAATAACATTATTTTTAGTCATAACAGCAGAAGAATTTATTGAATGGAACTAAACCAAAGAAGACACAGATGCCTAACAGTATGAGCAAAAAAGCAGCTACAATGATTATGACACCAAAGAGACCACCAACAATGGCAAAAGCAACTTCAAATCCACTAGGACCTAAGATAAAGAGAGATATTATAATTACACTCATCTATAAGACTATAGATTAGGTGTACCTGATGAAGTACTATTCTGTGACGATACAGTAGCTATCAATAAGGACAGTAAGAGGATCATGACAAGAGTATTGCTTCTATACCAAGCACCCATTGTGAAGAGAGAGATAGGGAGGGAGGACTGGACGTAGGAAAGCTATGCTAATGCAGACCTAATTGCATCAGTACATGGCTTTATCTCTACAGATGCACACACATCCCACACTACACTATAAAGCTATGTCTCTGTGTATACTGCAGCTACATTATGATTGCATTACTCGAGTAATTATAAAATAGTACACGCTAACAAGCTAAATTTGATTAAGTTATTGACAAATAGTAATTAAACATTGGAATTGCGGGCGACATACATGTATGATCATTTGATAATTTAATATCTGTAGACTTGGTGTCACTTTCTTTTCTTCTGCTCAACAAAAAGGACATGCTGTTTGACTAAAAGTATATAGAAAAATAAATGCTTAGTATTCATTAAAGAACAGTCCTTACCAACTGGATCATACTTCATTAAAGACAGTCTGTCTTTCCCTCTTACTTTCCTTATTGTATAGTAATAACCTGTACCGGCTGCACTCACCAGTCTTGTGAAGAACACTCTAGTAATTATAATTGTAAAAGGAATGCAAAGTTATCATTATCACCTCGCTCTGCCTCTCGCCATTTTATTAAAATTGGGCGGGGTATTGGTGGGCGTAACTTAATTAACCACGCCTATATTAAGAAGAAATACCCGGTAGATAAGAAAGGGCGCATGGTTGACAATGAGAGAGTTTCATAATAAAAGAAACTTTTTAGCCAACCTGATATTATTTGTGTGTCTCTTCAGGACCTCGTCCTCTATCTCTTTCCATCTTGAGCCGGATTCCAAGAAGTGTCTCCGGGACGAGGTACACAAGAACGTACTTGTGGTTGGGAACTATGAATTGGAGGAAGCAACCTCCGTTAAAACCAACATAGAGGTATGGAGGCCTTTAGTCACGTGACCTATTATTCACCTGTCCTTTTTTTAGGTGATAGATTCAAAAGGTCACACTTTGTTCCGTAAAGAGGAAATCACAACGGGAAAGTTTGCCTTTACGACTGAAGATTACGAAGTTTTTGATGTCTGTTTTCACACCTCTGTAATAGGTGAGCTCGTGTCATTTTTATAATACACGTTATTGTCATGGGACATTATAGGTCAGGGAGGGCATGAAGTAAGACGAGAGGCTAAATTGGTACTGAAACACGGCGTGGAGGCTAAAAATTACGATGATGTAAAGGAACATTATTTTCAGTGACAATTTTGATTCTTCTTTATGTCTAAAGGTTGCGAAAGCTGAGAAACTGAAACCGATGGAAATGGAGTTGAGTCGGTTGGAAGATCTTGCCGAATCAATCGTTAATGACTTTGCTTACATGAGAGCAAGAGAAGAAGAGATGAGAGATACCAACGGTTAGCCAATGAATTAATTAGATTATAATTATTGTACATCTAATTACATTTATCACTTCATATACTGTATAGCAGGAAATTTTGAAGGGAGTTAAATTTGGAGAATTGCTAAATTTTGGTGATTGGCAAATTTGTGGCCATGTGCCATTCAGCATGCTCATAATGGCTCAAAATGGTGGATTTTTATTTTGGCGAATGGCTATCAAGATGCCAAATTTGCCAAATTTAACTACCTCCAAAATTTTCTTCTATACGGTACATCAGCACTCATCACATTATTCTGATCATCTTTTTCTCCCTCTCTATTCTCTGCAGAATCTACCAACACTCGTGTTTTATACTTTAGTGTCTTTTCAATGAGCTGTCTTGTAGTCCTAGCCATTTGGCAGATCTTTTATTTGAGACGTTTCTTCAAAGCTAAGAAACTCATTGAATGAGTTGAGAAATTAAGGAGAAAGAGTCAGAGAGAGAGAAATGAACGACACACTATAGGCATTATTAATTTGTTATTATTATTATTATTATTATCACGCAGGCATTCAGCGTTGTTTTATAATTTTTTTGCAGGTTTAACATCATGTTATTAATAATGATAATTTATTAATAAGTAACAGCTCTCCAAATTGATAGATAATGTAACAAACAGTGACACAAGTTGCAAATCAATGTAACTGATGTTCAACTGCTGTTCAATCAATTACTATGACATCGTCATCTCCATCACTAAGAGGCCAGTCTTCCAACATTGATTCATCAATTATCATTTCTATATCTTCAACTCCTACTGGTGACAAATCAGTACTATCATCTTTTTTAACTAAATAAAATAGACGATATAATTAAGTTAATATACAGCATTTGCTCTTCACCTTGCTCAGGCGTTTCCTCTATCACTCTTATCTCGTGCTTCTCTGTCATGCCAACGTATGTCATTATATCCATATCATTGTCACTGGACGAGTTACTGCCATCTATTAACTTTCTCTTTTTCGTACAAATCTCTTTAGAGTCATCACGATCATCATCAGTGTGTACCACTAGCGGGTCTTTTGAATGAGATGGACCAGGTAGTAGTGTAAGCTGCTCTTTAGCGTGTGGGACAATGTCCTTTTTAAGCTCTTTTGGTGGATTCAGTCTCGTTATTTGTGTTGCTGGAGATATGTCCTTTAATTTCAGTGGCAAGTTATTGGTAGCAGGATCTGATGTAATGTATCTAAAAAAGTACTAGTAACATTAGCATTAATACCAGGATTCCTGATGAGTAGTAGTACAGCAGTACTGCTCATCATGGACTTCTGATAATCAAGGCAACAATATGTCTGTAAATGCTCTAGTGTGTGCATGTATAGTTACATTGGTTCAAGAAGATCCTCTAAATTGATGTACGGTGGAATGCATTGGAGTGATTCGAGTAGGTTTGGCTCTGACGTTGTCGTCAAAAGATCCAGTGAATTACTAATGTCAAATAATTGAAACTGTAGCTGCTCGTTTTTAGTTTCACTGGTTGGAGCGTGAAGAACCACTTTTAATTTCTGGTAAAAATCTTTTATTTTAGAATCCTTGAAAAAATATCAATAATAAACCTAGGAACAAGACTACAAGGAGCTACATACCTCAACCATAGTCCTAAATTTTTCCACGTGGTTTCCGTATACTTTTATTCAAAAACTGTAAATTCTTGGTTACTTTTTGTGCGTGGGCGATCACTTAGAATTTTCTATTTTAGAGTATTTAAGAACAAGTTAGCAATTTAGGCTATATACGGTATCTTCTCAGACTTCTAATTTTTTAGACAAGCAGCATGGCTGACGACTATATAGAAGACAGCGAAGGTCCGTTCTCCTCTGGTCCTCCTCCATTTGTACCCTCTGAGGAGTCTAAGGAAAGCCTGACGAGCGAGTACATTAAAGTTGATCACAGAGAAGGAGAGAGCAGCAGCCCAGAGATGATAAGCGGGCCTGAAGATCCAAACGACCCTCTTCTTCCACCTCCCGACCCTCCCTCTCCTCCAAAGGTAGTTGTTATCTTCATATCATATATTTCTCTCTCTCTACTTTTCTCGATTCATCAAATGCGGGTAGTGTCAAGTATTCAAGTCATTGCAATAGCGAGAATACTTTAAAGTTCTTTGATTTCTAACCAATTTAATTAATGCCTATACATGTAAAACAGCTAATAACAAAAATATAATAATTGCTTTTTAGACAGTATGCTTTCCCCTCTTGCTTGCTTTATAGAGGGACCCTTCTCCAGTATCGGGATTTGATCCCCCTCCTTTGATCAGTGGGATTGGAGGAGTTGAAGACATTCCTCCGAAGAGAGACGAAGCCTCATTCTCTAGACCTTGTAAGCAGCCACTACTTTTATTGATAATAATCTTTCTTTATCTGTTACTAGCTCCTAAGCATACTGTGGAGACAGTAAGAGCTGAAGGTTACCTTAGCTTTCTAAATGTCCTTCATCCATTTGGTAAGAAAGAGAGAGTGTGTGAGAGATTAGAGAGATGTGACTGTGTTACTCTACTGGTGATGGGTGTGAAATGGATGAGTAGGATTTGGTTACAGCTCTTATTGAGTTTTGAGAGACCAACTATAATAACAAACTATAAGAAATTCCCCATCTTTTTTTCTCATTCTTTTCATAGTTCTGAATATTATATTTTGGAAGGATATCAAGTTGAGTTCTCTCTCTCTTGTTGTCTGCCTGGTCACGTTGCTCACCCTCTATCTTAATACACTGCTGCACACTGTTGTTCTCATCTTGCTGGCGGCCATGATTGTCTCTCTTATATTCATTGTGACAAAGATTGCCATTGATTCTTTTTATAACAGACAGATAAAGAACCCATTTAGGTAAGGAAGACAAGAAAAGAGAGAGAGAGTTTTTATTTTTAATTTTATTATACCAGTGCCTATTTGGAGTGTCAATTAACTTTTATTAATGAAGAGGCCGCTGTTCTTCTTGTTAAAAGTTGTGTCAAGGACATCAACCATTATGCCAACCTAATCACTAAATTGATCTTCTTTGAGAGCTACATAAGATCTTTAAAGGCAAGCAAAGAGAGAGAAAGAGGGGGGAGAGGGAGAAAAGAATGTATCACATAAAATAACTATGTCCTATGTCAATCATTTGTTTCTATACACGTAATTAGTTGATTATTTCTTGTTAATACGTTTGGCACCTGCCACTGTATTGGAATAGTATAATGTTGGATTGCAATATTTCTTTTCTCTAGTTTGTGGTTTTTCTGTTCCTGGCATCTTATCTCACTAACTGTTTTAGCATCATGACCTTATTGTTCCTTGGTTTGTTAAATAACACTCCTAACTATCATCAGCCCATTCTTTCTCTCTCTTTCTTTTCTAGGGGTTGACATTCTGTTTGGTGTTCCACCTATATACACACACTACCGAGTAAGCCCCTTTAATTAACAGCATTAGTTATCAGAATGACTTAAGGTCACCTTTATGTATTAGAAAAACCACTTAGAAATTGGGGTGATTCTAGAGCTCATTTTGATATGGATTGTATTGCTTAGTTTAACAAAATTGCATTATTTTTCATCCTCTGCTAATAAATAATCACCTCTCTCTTGTTCTTTCCCTTTCAGGTTGTAATTGATCAGTATATAGAGAAGATTGGCTACAAGTTGGCGGAACTCTATCAGAAGTCAGTCCTCGAATTATTGCACTTTCTATTAGTCACTCTCACTCTATAGGGTCTCGGCTAAGATTCCATTCCTTCCCAAATCTAAATCTGATTGACCTTAGAGACTGAGAGAAAGTGTGGCTGTACTTTTAAAGAGTGACATATTGACTTGTTCTTAGATTATTTTCGGATCATTTTTGGTGTGCACATACACACACACACACACACACACACACACACTTAACCTTGTGATAATTAAGAATAATAATAATTATTATAACTAGTCAAAATCCATTGCATTAATGGGGCGAGTACATAATGTATATCACTACTAGTTACATGTGCTATGGTACATGCGTATCTTCAGTTTTAGCTTCCTAGTAGCTGTCTATCATCTGAGCAACACTTGTTTTAATCTAACATTAGTAACGCGGTAGCATTACTAAGTAGGATTCACCCCCAAACAAAATGGCTACCACGACTTTTGCAGCCTTGCTATACCGGGAAAATATATGCAAGTAGTCGTGATGTACATGCCTTGAATTTGTAACTCTCTTCACATAAAGGAGTCGAAAAACATTTTACATCTTTTCTACATCTTGGCTAACACCTCAAACAAGATGCTAACAACAAAACTCGTAACAAATTTAGACAGTACATACCTGTACTTGTATTTGCGGTGAATCACTATTGGTCGTGGTTCATCAACTGATCAGCTAGTGTTAACATGTAGGGCTAGAACACACAGCATGCAATGACTGGTCGTACTGTATTGCCTTGTTCCTTTGTAAACGCATGATTGAAGTGTAAGAATTTTACTATATTTCACAATCAAAATATTATTGAGTTTAAAATGAAAATTAGTGATTGAGGGAAAGAGAGAGAGTGAGTGAGGAATAAAATTGAATTTCAACACAAACACACACACATAAACATTACACATCAGTCCATGACCAGTTCAATAAAAATGAATGACAAGAGAGGAAGAGAGAACATTAAGACGTAAAACAGCACCTGCACTGTCACGCCAGCCACAAAAATAACGATAGATAATAAAAATTGAAAACAACAACAACAACGACGGTGATAATAAATAATAATAATAATAATAATAATAATAATAATAATTAGACAGTACTAACAGTGTAACCAACTCTTTTAGCATGAGCTTCTATGTCGCTTAGTTTAATTGCAACACCCTCCTTCTCTTTCCTTCCTGCCTTTAAATCAGTCGAATCCTTATCTTTACTACTTCTGTTATTTGTTGGAGCTGGAGGGCCAGGATTAACTAGTGTAGAAGAAGGTGGAGGGTTACTGCTAGGAGGAGGAGGAGGTTTAGCAACAGCGACTGTAGTGGCTATGGAGGGAACGTTTGAGCGATGGGGGTCATCTAGAATTTGGATATTTTTGTAGACGTGGTGACTGAATTTCTTTTCTTTTTTTAGTACTAGGGGGTGGGGTTTAGCACCTTGCTGTGCCCACCAGGCATCCTCTGTCTCGTGAGTGAGGTAACGAATGTCTAGACGTCCTTCTAATTCACAAACATCTTCGTATAATCTTATATCCTAAAAGAAGAAGACCAATAATGAATTAAGAGCATACTTCATTTAATAATTACTCAACTATTTTAGTTAATGTATGTAACTTACTCTAAGCCAAATGTGATTAAGTGCCTGTGTTGTCTTAAATCTTGACCGTCTGTTTATTTGTAATAATTTAGAAACTAAATCGATTGCTGTTAAAACAAAAAACAATAATAAAGCAATATCCTTCTTCTCTATTTCCTTCCCCTTCTCTTCTCTCTCTCTTTCTCTGTCTCTCTCTCCCTTTCTCCCCCTCTCTCTTTTTACCCTCTTGTGTTATGGCAGCCCATGGATCAGGCGGATACATGAAGGCAGCATTGTGGATCTGATCAGAAATCTCTTCGTCTTCATTGAAAGGGAATGTACCACTCAAACTATACACATAATATTAGGTAGAGTAATGGTTCATGGTGGCATACCTCACGTATATAATGACCCCAACAGACCAAAGGTCCAATGAACGATTGTAGCCTTCATTCTTGAGTACTTCAGGAGCTGAAATGGTGGGAGTACATGTAATTTAAATAGAAACAAACTCTCACTCTCTCTTTCTCACTTTGCCCAGGGTTAAATGTACATGTATAATGACATTAAAGTATTCTTATTTGGCAAGTATTATTACTACAAATGTACCCAATTCTTTTTACATTTACTGATACACACATATCCTCCTCCTTTACCCAGATAAGCAGGTGTTCCTACTATTGACTTTCTAAAGGACTTCTCTCCAATTATTCTTGCAAATCCAAAGTCGCACAGTTTGACTTGAGGCATCCCGGACTCTGAAGTGAGGAGAACATTCTCCGGCTTGAGGTCACAATGAACAATGTCTTTCTTATGGAGATACTGGAGTGCTGCCAGTATCTGAGAGAGAGACAGAGAGACAGAGAGATAGACAGAGAGACAGAGACAGAGACAGAGACAGAGAGAATGACACAAAGAGAGGGGGAGACAAGCGTGAGGTCACTGCAATTTTAATTATGATTTTTATTTAAAATTCAATTTTAAAATAGAAGTTGCATACTTGGTAGACGAGGAATTTGGTGACCCTCTCTGAGAGTCGACTGTTGGGGCTACTCAATATCATCTCCAACATGTCACCATTCATCTTCTCCATAGCAATATATATCTGAGTAATAAAATATAAAAATAACAACATTAATATAACTATAGTGTCATTGTCGTACTTTTTCTGGTGTTTCAAACATTTGTTCAAGATAAATGATTCCAGGATGATCAAGAAACTGGAGTATTGTGACCTCCTGCCTTAGGGCTGTGTCCTGTTTGTGGGGGAACCTTAACTTGTCAATGACTTTAATGGCAACACTCTTCCCTGTAGTTCTGTTCTGACCTGAAGAAAGAATGAGCATAGTTTATTAGGAGGAATATCTGCATAAATATATATATATATATGAGTACCTCCAAATACAGTACCAAACTGCCCAGAGCCAAGTATTTCTTCAGGGAATATTTGATACATTTGACTTACATCCTGCAAGAAAAATGAGAGATAAAGATGGACATTATCTCTTCTCTCTCACCATTTTTGTTTCAATTTTAGGTTTCATTGCTGCCCTGACAGGTATTGCAGGCGGAGACTGTTTGACGGCTCTAAAGGATCCTCTGAAGGACCCACGACCAGTGGAGGTGTGGTGGGGAGGTCTTGAAGCGTTTCTGAAAGATCCTTTGGTACCTCTGAAAGAACCTTTTAAAGAGGAACCTCTCCTTCCCCTGAAGGATGAAGGTCTGACTATAGCAGCACCTGGTACTCCAACTAGAGAGGGAGGAAGAGAATGTAATGTGCTGTCATAATGATTTTTAGTAAGTTCAAACTTCAAAGGGCATAACTTAAGAACCATTTCATAGCAATTCAAGTACATGCACATGTACACTGGTTTTTTCCAAAAAATGGCTCCGAAATCACCTCCAATTTTTATTACATTTTTTGATACATATTGATGTCCTTATGCTGTGTAGAAAGTTTGGGCTGATTCTGACTTCAATTTCTTGAGTTATGGCCATTTAAAAAAATTGGCCAATTTCTGAAAAATTCCCTGTACTATAGCCCATGGTTTTTTTTAAAAAATGGCTCCGAAATCACCTCCAATTTTTATTACATTTTTTGATACATATTGATGTCCTTATGCTGTGTAGAAAGTTTGGGCTGATTCTGACTTCAATTTCTTGAGTTATGGCCATTTAAAAAAATTTGGCCGATTTCTGAAAAATTCCCTGTACTATAGCCCATGGTTTTTTCAAAAAAATGGCTCTGAAATCACCCTGAATTTTTATTACATTTTCTGATACATATTGATGTCCTTATGCTGTGTAGAAAGTTTGAGCTAATTCCGACTTGAATTTCTTGAGTTATGGCCATTTAAAAAAATTGGCCAATTCCTGAAAAATTCCCTGTATTATATATAGCCCATGGTTTTTTCCAAAAAATGGCTCCGAAATCACCCCCAATTTTATTACATTTTCTAATACATATTGATGTCCTTATGCTGTGTAGAAAGTTTGAGCTGATTCCGACTTCAATTTCTTGAGTTATGGCCATTTTAAAAATAGGCCAAATTCTGAAATATACATATAGCCCATGCTTTTTTCAAAAAATGGCTCCAAAATCACACTCAATTTTTATTAGACATTCTGATACATATTAGTGTTTGAGCTGACTCTGAGCTCAAACTTTCAAGCTACATGCATGACCACTGAAAAATATACTTGTGGCATATTTTGTATGGATTTTAGGGTTTAGTGTTTTCCTTACTATCAGCTAGACTCCCCATTGATGCTTGAGGTGTTATTGGCATCAGTGCACTGTGGAGCCCTTCCTCCCAACTGAGAGCTACTGTGAGTCCCACTCCTATCTCCTCTAACTGATTCAATGACATGTGGGATACATTACAGAGTATATTAGGACCTAGTGCTATTGGAGGAAAAGAGAGAGGGGGAGAGGAGAGAGAGACAGAGAGACAGAGAGAGACAGAGAAAGAGATAGAGAGAGAGACAGAGAGACAGAGAGAGACAGAGAGACAGAGAGACAGAGAGAGAGACAGAGAGACAGAGAGAGAGACAGAGAGAGAGAGACAGAGAAACAGAGAGAGAGAGAGAGAGAAAGAGAAAGAGAAGAAAATAGAATAACAGAAGCAATACAATACATGTAAAATTCTTTAAATATTTCCAGTACATTCCTAGAGTCAAATCCTAACCTCCTTCAGTTTGTTTTGGTGGGTTCAAATCCTCGGGCACTGCCCCTGCCATGTCCACGCCCACGTAATAAGTACAGCTAGAGGTCACAATCTCAAAGACGTGAGGAGGTGAGAGGGGATAGAGGGCGTGGTTTACCATTGGATCGACGGCCATTATATCAGCAAGCTGTATCTCTTTGTAGTAATGAGAGGACTCGCTGTCTTTGTACAATGTAAGGGTCTTTGTATCTAGCCTCCAAAAATGTTTCTTTCTCTAAAATAAAAAGTAATATAAAAATTGTTTAATCTCTTTTGACCCCCTCTCTCTCTGTTTGTCTCTCTCTCTCTCTGTCTCTCTCTCCTTCCCTCCCTCCCTCTCTCTCTTGTCAATTCTACCAGGTGTGCCATGGGGGTACTGTATTAAATTGATTTTCAAGGATTTTATTTTTGCGATTCAGAAAAGAATTTGCAAAATTTGCAACCCTTTAAAAAAACCACTTATACGGTATTTATACACTATATATTATTACTGAGCATAAATAGTGACTGGAATGCTATTAAAAATATCATGAGACAACTGTTTATTTAAACAATAGTAGTTATTAATTAACATCAAACTAATGCATACTAGTACAAATTGTGACAGTATCAACAATACGCCGACACCTGCGGAACTTTATTTCAATTACTCCTCGTGGTACAGTAAATTTATCATATCCATTCTGCTTGATCCCATTAAGACTATCATGAGGTAATGGTTTATAAGTGTCCACTACTAATTGTGTAGCTTCAGCTCCACACTTTGCAAAAAAAACTTTAGGAAGTTTTGATTTGAAATGATCAAATTTTCCTTCATGAAACGCAAGAAATAAAAAGTAATCTGGAGTATTACCAAGAAGACCATTCACCATCACTCTAGCCGACATGTGCCGACCAAATGCATTCGAATAAAAATGAACTGCTGGTCTTCCTTGAGTAACATCAACTGGTAGTACGGGATACTCATGACATGGACGAGTCTTCAAATCTGATAGTTCCTTTTTCATTTGTTCGTTCTCTTTCTTCAATTGTCCACAAGCTACAGCTAATAGTGTCATGTGTTTAGTATCAGCAGTGTGTACATGTACATCTTTACGTAATGGCTTATCATTACAACCAGCCCAACTAAACACACAATCTACTGGCTCTAATGGACACTGGTGACTAATGTGAGCAGAAAGAACATGACGTGGCATAGTATTCAACGTACAGTTATTGGGACAGTGAATCGGGTAATCTGCACAATCATTATAATGGCCCATTGTTATAGAGAGGTATGTGCCATCTTTCCAACAGTATTGGCATCTGAACAGTCGGTGAGGACACTCATCATGTTCATGATAATCAAGATATCTACGTTCATTTCTCACTTGACATTCCTCATATCGACACTTTACTTCTTCATATTGACATTCTCCATCTCTCTTCCCTTTATTAAGATGAGTAGATATGTCTCTTAAATCTCCTCTCCATTGACATCTTTGATTACTGCAGTAGACCTCCAATCCATTGATGATACGTGAACAGTCAGCTTCCATTACTAGCTTTTACTCTCTCAATATACAAGACCCACAGAAATTATGTCCACAGCAGAATGAGCAGATGAGGATCTGTCAAAATATTACTGGAGATACTAAGACAACTGAGCTATTGTGGAATCATGTGACCCTATACCACATTACCACTTCCTGTGATTGTTATGATTATCATGTAATAGACCTATTGTTTATACTCATTCAAGTCCTATCATTATTAATCATTCTTTGTATATAAAGTTCTAATGATTTCCATGTGCACATGAGCTACTTTTTGTGATGATAAAACTATGCAGTGCTATTTGGACTATTTCCTGTTCAGAATAAGAAACTGTGACACAAAAATCAAGTATATTAAATTAGGTTTAACAGTGCTGAAGAAGATCAAACCACTTTTTGAATTTTGATTATTATAGCAAAATCAGTATTTATTATTAGAGAATGAGAGTTTTGCATTAAGTGTGAGATTATAAGAGCACTGTTATTTTCATTAAATTAATTGTTATAAAATTAAAATTGACAGCAGTAAAGTATACCGGCGTAGCTATTATAGTCATTACTTGGTATAAAAAGTTACATTTTTTAGTTTCCTAATTGTGTATGTTGGAATCACACCTAATTGTATTTTGATTACTCCTTGTGGTAGTCTAGCATCATCAAACCTTGTGATCCTATTAAGAGCATTATGAGGTAATTCTTGATAAGTAGCTTCAGTGTCTACTATTAGCGGAATATGTTGATCATTATATGTTGCAAATATTTTGTCAAGTTTTGGATTGAATAAGTCAAATTTTCCTTCATGAAATGCAAGTAAAGCAAAAACCAAGACCTCATTTTTTGACCGAACCATCTCCACTATTCTAGCTGACATGTGCCGACCACATGCACTGGTATAAAAATGAACTGCTACACTTTTTTCTCTAATATTAATTGGTAGTAATGGATTATCAGCTGTGATAGAGCCAATGAAATATTTTAAATATGTATTTTCTTTTCTTAGCTTTTCTACATCTTTTTTGATTTCTTCTGTTATTTTTTCACTTTCTTCTTTTATTATTGCAATTTCTTTTGTAGATTCTTCTTTTATTTGTTCATTTTCCTTCTTCAATTGTCCACAAGCTACAGCTAATAGTGTCATGTGTTTAGTATCAGTAGTGTGTACATGTACATCTTTACGTAATGGCTTATCATTACAACCAGCCCAACTAAACACACAATCTACTGGCTCTAATGGACACTCACTGATGTGAGCAGTGAGACCACCTCGTGGCATAGTATTTGACGAACATTTATTGGGACAAGTAGCAGGATACTGCCTGCATTCCTCATAATGATCCTTTGTAATAGAGAGGAACGTACCTTTACTACTGCAGTATTGGCATTGAAATGGACGTTGATAACATTCTTTATCTTCATGATCCTTAAGATATCTACATTGCTTTCTCTCTTGACATTTCTCATATCGACACTTTACTTCTTCATATTGACATTCTCCTTCTCTCTAATTCTCTTTATTAAGATGAGTAGACATATTCTTCAATTCTCCTTCCCATTGACATCCTTTCTCCTTATTACTGCAGTAGACCTCCAATCCATTGATAATACGAAGTCGCTCTTTATTAACCATAACTTGATATTCCTTCTCTTTACACATAGGACAAGATCCATTACTAGCTTTTACTCTCTCAATACAAGACCCACAGAAATTATGTCCACAGCAGCTCACCAGATGAGGATCTGTCAAGATATTAAAACAAACTGGACACTCTATCTCCACATGTTTGGGCAATTCTTGAGCAAATGAAAGCTCTTCTTTAGCCATTGCTACTGGCAACTCCCTTAAACTAATTGCTTGTACAGTTACTGTATCCAATGGTAACAGATTAATGAATATACTTACTCATCTGATATTAAAGTAGATTCATTTGTCACTGACTCTAATGCTACTTGATACCTTTTATCTACAAAATTTTAATTTGTTGAACTGAATTTTGTATCAATAATAACGGTAATTGACAGCAATAAAGAATGATTTGTATAGATTGTAGCAGAATTAACTGTGCCAATTTTCGGAAAAAAAGCAAAGGCTCTAGCCCATGCTTTTTCCAAAAAATGACCCCAAATTTTTATTACCATGTTGATGTCCTTGTAAAAAGTTTGAGTTGATTCTGACAAATATTTTTTGAGTTATGGCCATTAGGAAATTGGCAAATTTTTGAAAAAGCAAAGGGTATAACCCAGATCATGCTAAAGTTACATGAACTTTTGTTTAGAGCAATTTGAAAAGACATTTTTTGATTTTAAGTTTGTGGGCTTTGCTCTTATTAATTAAGAATTTTGAGGTTGCTTGTAGCATAGCATTACTAGGACTATAAGTTAGCTCTTGCATGCTGCATGAAGCTTCATTCTGTCATTTAACATGATTAGAGCATTTTGTGGTATTTATTTATCTCCATTGAGTATCACTTTATATAATAATTAAATTAACATTGAAAATAATAAAATACAATGTATATAGATACACACTGTCATTACTGAGTATAAATTGTAGCTCTATTACTACTATATAACAATAAAACGTGTAAGTCATATTCACCTACATTTATTTTAATAACTCCTTCTGGTACAGTAGTATCATCATTGCTCCACTCGATGCCATTAAGAATATCATGAGGTAGTAGTTTATAAGTAGCTTCAGTGTCTACTAGCAATGCAATATCTTTATCTTTTAACTTTGCAAATATTTTTGAAAGTTTTGGTTTGAATTTTATTTCATGAAATGCAAGTAACATGAAGAAGTTAGCAAACCTACGTGTACGTGTCTCAAAAGTATTTGCCATTTTACTAGTCCCACTCCTTCTAATGACTTTTTCAGTAATGTGTTTAACATCCCCTCTCATTATTCTAGCTGACATGTGCCAACCACATGCACCAGTATAGAAATGAACTGCTTCACTTCCTACTGTAACATCAATTGGTAATAATGGATAGGAATCATTAGCTAGAGCAGAATGAACACGATAATTAAAACGAGCATCTTCTTTTGTTAACTTTTCTATTTCCTTCTTCATTTTCTCATTTTCTTCTTTTACTTGTTCATTTTCTTTCTTCAATTGTCCACAAGCTACAGCTAATAGTGTCATGTGTTTAGTATCAGCAGTGTGTACATGTACATCTTTACGTAATGGCTTATCATTACAACCAGCCCAACTAAACACACAATCTACTGGCTCTAATGGACACTCATTGATATGAGCAGTGAGACTACCTTGTGGCATATTAGTAGACACACATTTATTGGGACAAGTAACAGGATACTGACTGCATTCCTCATAATGATCCTTTGTAATAGAGAGGAACGTACCTTTACTCCAGCAGTATTGGCATTGAAATGGACGTTGAGGGCATTCTTTATCTTCATGATCTTTGAGATATCTACGTTGCTTTTTCTCTTGACAATTCTCATATTGACAGTTTACTTCTTCATATTGACATTCTCCTTCTCTCTTCTCTTTATTAAGATAAGTAGACATTTCCTTTAGTTCTCTTTTCCATTGACATCCTTTCTCCTTATTACTGCAGTAGACCTCCAATCCATTGATAATACGTGAACACTTCTTATCGATAAATGATTGATATTCCTTCTCTTTACACATAGGACAGGATCCATTACTAGCTTTTACTCTCTCAATACAAGACCCACAGAAATTATGTCCACAGCAGCTTACAATATGAGGATCTGTCAAGATATTAAGACAAACTGGACACTCTATCTCCACATGCTGTGATTTTAATCATTATTAGTTACTCTTAACACTATTACATTATTGTTTGCATCTAATGTAAACTGACTTTAAGAATTTTTAATCTTTTATACTTATAGTAAAGCTTCAAAAGTCAACACAAGAATTAATAAATACATGTTACACATCATCAGATTAAATCAGTAAAGTCTCGATAATGCATGTATCTTCATTAGTTTCTTTGTGAGTCTAACTAAACACACAATCTACTGGCTCTAATGGACACTGGTGATTAATGTGAGCAGAAAGAACATGATGTGGCATGGTATTCAACGCTCAGTTATTGGGACAATGAATCGGGTAATCTGCACAATTATTATACTTGTAATAGAAAGGTATGTGCCATCTTTCCAACAGTATAATTGTCCTCAGAGACCATTCAGATGCCAATAGATAGTATTGGCATCCGAACCATCTCTGAGGAAATTCTTTATCTTCATGATATACTTAAGGTATTTATGTTGCTTAAACTTGGTTCCTCTCTTGACACTTTACTTCCCCTTTCTGGCCTTTAATAATTTGAATAAGTACAAACTACTAATTTTTTTGGCTAGAAGACAAAATGCCTCATTAATGTTGTAGTTTTCAGTATCATGAGTGTTGTTTATTTAATTTCCCACTCTTTTACTAATGCTACCAGTTTTTCAGATTTTGACATTTGCTTTGCTGGCAGCAGCTATTATGACTGGTATGTTTTATATTTTTTTCAAAAATTGCCTTGGCTGTTGCCATCTGGTTACTGATCTGCAATAGCTTCCTTGGAAATGTCAGTGACAATAATAAATGGATCATGAATTTAATTGCATAGGAGAAGGCTGAATTTACCCAATCCCATTCCTGCTACTGAAGATTGTCTAATTCTTCCTTGATGCAAGACAATTTGCTATTTGTTTGCATAATTATTAATTTTGATTACATTCAGATAAAATGGTACTAAGCTTTTGTCGTGACCTTTTTCGTATTGACATTCTCCATTTCTCTTCTCTTTTCTAAGATGAGTAGATATACATGTATTCTTCAAATCTCCTTTCCATTGACATCTCTGATTACTGCAGTAGACCTCCAATCCATTGATGATACATGAACAGTCAGCTTCCATTACTAGCTTTTACTCTGTCAGTACAAGAGCCACAGAAGTTATGTCCACAGCAGCTCACCAGATGAAGATCTGTCAAGATATTAAGACAAACTGGACATTCTACTGTATCTCCACATGCTCTGGCAATTCTTTAGCAAAAGAAACCTCATCTTTACTGAACTGAGCCATGGTGGAATGGCTATCATGTGACCCTATATATACACCACTTCCTGTGATTGTTAGGGCCTATAGATCTATTACTGATACTACATCAAATTCGAACTATATTGATTGCTTGTTATAACAGTCACAAGAAAAGTAGCTCATGTGCATATATACTAGGTAATAGAATTAAGACTCTTAAATATGAGATACCGTACTGTGTGATGTACCATACACATCTGGTATACTGCTGTTATACCAATAAAACAAATGATGGTAACTAATTGAAGAAACCAATTTGTGTTGGCTGTTTAACCTTTTATATATACTAGTAAAACTTGAAACATCACCAGAGCAGATTCTAGTAATCTCCCTAATCTCAAGATGCATGAATGTATTTATTTATATTTGTGTCGTAATGTACATGTACCACTTTGAAACCATTTTCCATTAGCTTTGTTATGTACCCATAACTATGGTATAGTCTTTTTATGTATATGGGTTTCATTGTTTTTAAGTGCCCCCCAATAAAAATTGATATTGATTTTGTTCAGCTAAAATTATTATTGATCAATTATTAAAAAATTAATGTGCATCTATCACTATTTTGAATAAATTACAACAGGGTTACTAAGTTCACAATTTGAATTCATGATGCCTATTTTTATTTTAATTACCCCATGTGGTACAGCAATATGAAAGTCAGTTACCCTATTAAGAATATCACTAGGTAATTGTACATAAGTCGCTTCAGTGTCTTTTATTAATGGAGTAGCTATACCATCATAATCTGCAAATATTTTAGGAAGTTTTGAGTTTATTTGTAATCTGTCGAACTTTCCTTCATGAAATGCCAGTAATACATGGAGATCTGTTGTAGAAAACGGACCATGACTTTTTCTCCCTATCACAATTTTAGCTGACATGTGTTGACCACATGATCCAGTGTAAAAATGATCCGGTGCTTCTAATTGTGCTATTTTAATTTTTTTACCTGGTTCTAAACCATATCTAATGTGAATGGGCAGCAATGGATATGCATCACCAGGTATGGTTTGGTGGAGGTGATGCTTTAAATGTGAGTTTTCTTCTTTTAGGGTCTCTACTTGTTTCATCATCTCCTGCACTTCGTTTGTAGTTTCTTCTTTAATTTTCTCATTTTCTTCTGCTATTTGTTCATTTTCTTCCTTCAATTGTCCACAGGCTGCAGCTAATAGTGTCATGTGTTTAGTATCAGCAGCATGTTCATGTACATCTTTACGTAATGGCTTATCATTACAACCAGCCCAACTAAACACACAATCTACTGGCTGCAATGGGCACTGATAATCAATGTGAACTGAGAGAACATGACGTGGCATAGCATTCAACGTACAGCTATTGGGACAATGAACTTGAGCTACACAATTATGGTAATGGTCCCTTGTAATAGAGAGGTATGTGCCATCTTTCCAACAGTATTGGCATCTGAACGGTCTGTGAGGAGTGAGGACATTCGTTACCTTCATGATACTTGAGGTATCTACGTTGCTTTCTCTCTCTGCAGCTTGTGTATTTACACTTTACTTCTTCATATTGACATTCTCCGTTTCTCTTCTCTTTTCTAAGATGAGTAGACCTATTTTTCAGTTCTCCTTTCCATTGACATCCTTTCCTCTGATTTTTGCAGCAGACCTCCAATCCATTGATAATATGTGAAGGCCTAAATGCTTCCATTACTAACTTTTACTCTCTCAATACAAGACCCACAGAGATTTTGTCTACAGCAGCTCACCAGATGAGGATCTGTCAAGATATAATAAACTGGCCCCTCTATCTTGACATTTTGAACTGGGTCATTGTGGAATCATATGACCCTATACCACATTACCACTTCCTGTGATTGTTATCATGTCACATAGACCTCAGTATTACCGTAGATATTAGTCACTCAGTTATTCTAAGTCCCATAATATTAGTTTCTTTGTGTTGGTTTCCTTGTGTACTTGAACTACTTTTTATTATAATAAACCACAGCTTATAGATTAATAATTATTTGGTTGAAAATCACTTATTAATATTATATTAGTCATGCTTTCTTAGTAATACCAAAATTAGAGAAATTATATTGGTGGATTCACTGTTTTGGAATAAATGGCCAATATTCAATTTGTTGCTAATGTTCAATATGGTACCGGGCTACCCATTTATAATTTTCTCAATTGTCAGGAAGAAAAAAACAGCTAAATTTTGTAAAATCAATAATAAAGTTAAGTTAATGATTAAAATAATGAACTACTCTGTATAAATAAATCATAGCAGATTCAATAGCAAAATTTGCATATCTTTTTAATTCTGTTTTAATTACTCCTTGTGGTAGGGTACCCTCACAGCTGATAATGAAATCAAGAGTATGATAATGTAATTGTTCATAAGTAGCTTCAGTGTCATCTATTAATGGTACATCTGTATCTACTTTGACAGCTCTTTCTAGTCCTGGGGGCCACACTACAGCTGAATATGTTAGCTTTCCAAATATCTTAGGTAGCTTTGGTGAAGATTTATCAAATTGGCCTTCATGAAATGCAAATAGCATGAAGGAATATCCATCCCATTCATTACCCTGTGTCATTAGTCTAGCTGACATGTGCCGACCACATGCACCAGTATAGAAATGAACTGGTTCACTTCCTTTGGTAATATCAATTGGTAGTAATGGATATGGATCATCAGCTATGGCATTGTGAATATTAAGAGTGTCACATTTTAATGTTACCACTTCTTCTTTTATTAGTTCATTTTCTTTCTTCAAGTGTCCACAAGCTACAGCTAATAGTGTCATGTGTTTAGTATCAGCAGTGTGTACATGTACATCTTTACGTAATGGCTTATCATTACAACCAGCCCAACTAAACACACAATCTACTGGCTCTAATGGACACTCATTGATATGAGCAGTGAGACTACCGCGAGGCATTTTAGTAGACACACATTTATTGGGACAAGGAACAGGATACAGCAAGCATTTCTCATAATGATCCTTTGTAATAGAGAGGAACGTACCTTTACTACTGCAGTATTGGCATTGAAATGGACGTTGAGGGCATTCTTTATCTTCGTGACACTTAAGATATCTACGTTGCTTTCTCTCTAAACATTTTTTATATTTACATTTTGTGTTTTGATATCGACATTCTCCTTCTCTCTTCTCTTTACTAAGATGAGTAGACATATTCTTCAATTCTCCTTTCCATTGACATCCTTTCTCCTTATTACTGCAGTAGACCTCCAATCCATTGATGATGCGTGAACACTTCTTGTCAGGTATTGCTTGATATTCCTTCTCTTTACACATAGGACAGGATCCATTACTAGCTTTTACTCTCTCAATACAAGACCCACAGAAATTATGTCCACAGCAGCTCACCAGATGAGGATCTGTCAAGATATTAAAACAAACTGGACACTCTATCTCCACATGCTTAGGAAGATCCTCAACAAAAGAAAGCTCTTCTTTACTGAACTGAGCCATTATTACTATGATGATATCAAGGACTATATAAGGATGAAGTATTTAATTTGACTTGTTTGTATCAACTCTGTGTACATGTGACTGTTATGACAAGCAATTGAATCATCATTTTTGTCTGCATATACATGTACTTACTACATTATATTTGTAGGCATAATGTCTAATAGCATTAATGAGCATGAACAGAGATGATGGAAGGAATAGAGTTAATATTAATAGTAAAATATTAATTTTTAATTACTTCTCAAGCTGGCCCTATCAGGAATATTGTGAGGTAATTCTTTGTAATTACCTTCAGTGTCTTTTATTAATGGAATATTGTTATCACAAAACTTTGTAAGCATTTTAGGAGCTCTCTGTTTAGATTTTCTTTTTGAAATGCAAGCATCATAACTGCATCATAGAATAGAAAATGGTGTCTTGTTATTAAAATTCTAGTTGACATGTGTAAAGTAGTCCAATACATGTCTGGGGTCATTTTTGCATTATAAAAATGCTGTTTTATAGCTTTTCATCTCTATACATTATACAATGACTAATGACTTACTGAGTAGCTATATATCATATGTTAATGACGTCATTCAAAGACACCAACAGAGCTATAAAACACTGCATTGTACATGTATATACACTACAAATTTAAATTGTTTTGCCTTTAATGCATGTAGTCTTATACTGTTGTACTGTTTGGACTATTTTAATGTTAAAGAGGGCTAGCACCAAATCAAGGAAAACTAAATTTAACTGTGCCCATTGAAATGAAATAAGACATACTAATTTTTGTTTGTATCTTATTTTTGGAAGAGAATGGCAGCTTAATATGGCATGAAATATAAATTTTTATACCAATAAACTATATAAAATAAAGTAGTAATATCCTAATGCACTATCTCTAGTTATTACTTAGCATATATTGTGATATTTTTAACAAACCTCAATGTATACATTGGGATTGTGGCTATTTTTATTCTAATTACTCCTTGTGGCAGCAGTCTAGAATCATCACAGCTTGTGATAGTATTAAGAACGTCATGAGGCAATCGTTGATAAGTAGCTCCAGTGTCTTCTATTAATGGAATATGTTGATCATTGAATGCTGCAAATATCTTGTGAAGTTTTGGATCCAATTTATCAAATTTTCCTTCCTGAAACGCAAGCAATACAAACATTTTCAGCAAAGCAATGGACTGAAACCCTTCCATTGCTCTAACTGACATGTGCCGACCACATGCACTGGTATAAAAATGAATTGCATCACTTTTTTAATATCAATTGGTAATGATGGATGATCAGCTATGGCATAGCAAATGCGGTATTTGAAATCTGTGTTTTCTTTTCTTAGCTTTTCTATCTCTTCTTTGATTTCTTCTTTTATTTTTGCTTTTTCTTTTTTGATTTCTTCTTTTATCTGTTCATTTTCTTTCTTCAATTGTCCACAAGCTACAGCTAATAGTGTCATGTGTTTAGTATCAGCAGTGTGTACATGTACATCTTTACGTAATGGCTTATCATTACAACCAGCCCAACTAAACACACAATCTGCTGGCTGCAATAGACTGAGCCATTGTAAGATCATGTGATCCTATACCACTTCCTGTGATTGTTATCATGTCTTATAGACCTTTTGCTTATGTTATGATAAACTATGTAGTGCTGTTTGGACTATTTCCTGTTCAGAATAAGAAACCATAACACAAAATCAAGCAATTTATTGTCAAATCACTTGTGATTAGTATTATTATATCTTGGTATTTTGGAAGAGACTAAGAGGTTTACGTGAAATTTTAAGAGAATAATTAAAATTAAAATTAAAATTAACAATTGTTATGCACACCATCATTACCAGTCATCACATGGTATAAATTGTGACAAGTTTACGATGCCTCATTATATAGGTTGGAATTGTGCCTAATCTTATTACAATTACTCCTTGTGGCAATGCAGCAAAACTGATGTTATCAAGAATATCATGAGGTACTTTTATATAATTTGCATCAGTGTCTATTATTAACGGTATATCTTGATCATTATATGTCGCAAGTATCATGTGAAGTTTTGGATTGAAAATATCAAATTTTCCTTCATGAAATGCAAGTAAACCAGCAACCATGACCTCATTTCTGGATATAAGCACTTCCATGATTTTAGCTGACATGTGCCGACCACATGCACTGGTGTAAAAATGAACTGCTTTACTTCCTTCTCTAATCTCAACTGGCAATAATGGATGATCAGCTATGGAAGAGCAAAGGAGATTTTTTAAAATTGTATTTTCATTTGTCAGCTTTTTTATATCTTCCTTTGTTTCTTCTTTTATTATTGCAATTTCTCTTGTCATTTCTTCTTTCGTCTTCTCATTTTCTTCTTTTATTTGTTCATTCTCTTTCTTCAATTGTCCACAAGCTACAGCTAATAGTGTCATGTGTTTAGTATCAGCAGTGTGTACATGTACATCTTTACGTAATGGCTTATCATTACAACCAGCCCAACTAAACACACAATCTACTGGCTCTAATGGATACTCATTGATATGAGCAGTGAGACTACCTCGTGGCATAGTATTTGATGAACATTTATTGGGACAAGTAACAGGATACTGCCTGCATTCCTCATAATGATCCTTTGTAATAGAGAGGAACGTGCCTTCTTCCCCACAGTATTGGCATTGAAATGGACGGTAAGGGCATTCTCTATCTTCATGATCTTTGAGATATCTACGTTGCTTTCTCTCTTGACATTTCTCATATCGACACTTTACTTCGTCATATTGACATTCTCCTTCTCTCTTCTCTTTATTAAGATGAGTAGACATATTCTTCAATCTCCTTT